TTCACCTCAGAGGCGCTCGGCTCATTTGCTGGGGAGAACACTGGGATAAACTTTTGCGGCTGAGAAAACCAGCTGAGCAACTCTATACACACCCATCTCCTTAGCTCCTCCTTTGACCCCAGATTGAGAATAGCCCAGATTGGAGACATTTGTTCACAAAGAGCTAAATTTCTTCGTGTGATAAAGTTATAGAAAGCTGATATTTTCAGGGGAAGGTGGGGAACGGTAGAGAAATGGAGGAGAATGCTCTCAGGAAGGAAAAATGGCTGCAGGCAAGGTTCTGGGTAGCAAAACAGCCAGGACGGAGGGCGGGGCAACAGGGAGGGCGGGGCAGTTGAGGAGCTTTACTGTGGTGATTCCCAGCTATTGCTTGCTCTAAGTGGTGCTATAACTGTCCTATCGTGCCTCTGACCTGCAGTAAAAGTCTTCCACACAAAATGACCCTGTGTTCTGGGAGCTTTAAGGACAGAAGGAAGGAAAGAGTTTAACTTGCTGTGAGAATAATAGGACGAGAGGATGCACTATCACGAGGCAGGAAAATGACCTTGAATTCAGCTGGAGCAGGAATTCATAAGAAAAAGGGAACATGAAAATGTCAGCCCATCCCCCAAGAATCCTTGGGGGGAACAGGGACATCCCACAGAATTTGGTACGGGGACTTGGGCTGTTTAAGGAAAACATGTTCTAAGAAGGCTGGTAAAAATCAGGTTACATAAGGATTTTTTTTTTTTTTTCCCCGCGGTACGCGGGCCTCTCACTGCTGTGGCCTCTCCCGTCGCGGAGCACAGGCTCCGGACGCGCAGGCTCAGCGGCCATGGCTCACGGGCCCAGCCGCTCCGCGGCACGTGGGATCTTCCCAGACCGGGGCACGAACCCGTGTACCCTGCATCGGCAGGTGGACTCTCAACCACTGCACCACCAGGGAAGCCCTACATAAGGATTAAATGAGAGAATGTACAGAAAGCAATTAGCTCAGAGCCCAACCTGTGATCAGCACTCTAAACTAAAGGTAGCTTCTTATTATGATTTAATGGACAATTTCCTCTTTTCTTCACCCTTTTGAACTTCAAGGACTCACAATCTATTTGAAAATTATGATATAGTCATTCATTTATTCTACAAACATTTATCAAACTCCTTCTATGTAGCAGGTAATTTGAATAATTTCAGGCAGTAGGAGTGATGATCATATTTCATGTATGCGGGCTTAGCGTGTGCCAGGTAGTGGGCTAAGTGCTTTACCCGGCTTGTTTCATTTAATCCTTGTGACAATCCTAGGGAGGAACAATTATCTTCCCACTTTATAAACGAGGAGGCTGAGGCACAGCGAGGTTAAGCGACTTGCCTAGACCACATAGCTAGCCAGTGGGAGAGCCAAGGTTTGAACCCAGGCAGTCGGATTTCAGAGCATTCTCTAAAACTCCATACCGCACTGTTTTTGAATGCAACTGACATGTGTGTGAGTTATGGCCTATGAGGGGGAGGGGTCATGAGGGAGGGGTCATGGGGAGGTAAACCTACAAGTATGGCTAGGATTTTCTTGCCTTCTTTTTCCTCCTACCTCCCATTCCCATTCTAGCTCGCACTGTCAAGATGGGGGTGGCAGTAGCATCCCAACACTTACATCTGCTCAGAGCTGCTCATCACCTGGTTTGAGGTCTCCCATTCTACCTGTGCCCACCATTAGCAAGGGGAAACAAGAAAAGGGAGAGAAGGAAAAGACCTGTTGAACTAACCGATAGATAATTAGAAGCTGACTATTTTGCCATAATGCAGCACAAGGGCAATAAATAAATCAATCACTTGGGGGGGTGGGGAACGACTTTCCTATAATCAGCATTTAAAGGCTTATACCACTTAATTAGTCTGTTAATTAAAACTGTTCTCCTCCTTCCACATGTTATCAGCCTGCAAGGCAGAGAAAACTCAAGCCCCCTGGGGGGCAGGAGATAAGAGAAGTAAGACTGGAGTGCATAGCAGATTCAGACAGCTGGGCATGTGTGTGTTTTAAAAGCACAACGCTTAGTGCCTGGGGCAAATCTACCTGCTAGTAGGAAGGGAACGTTTATCAAAAACCAAAAGGCTGTTGTCTTTGTTGAACAGAAAGGGGAAAAAATGATTTAATCTTTAAAGAGAAAAGCCCCCATAACCACACACATGGATCTGTGAAGGGCAGATGCACTGCGTGTTCCCTGGGGCACTGGATACAGTGAGAAACAAACATGCTCAGGGCAAACGCTGCATTATCAGAAGACTCTGGAGCACGGGGACTAAGCCCTGATGCTGACGTGTGTACTTCTTAGGGAACTAACACACATGGAGTCCCTACTATGTGCCAGGCACCACCTCCATTCTTTATGTCTGTAACATCGTGTTTGGTGATTTCATCGACATTCTTAGAGTGCGCTCGAGTTATTTCTGGGAATTCCCACAAAAGGAGCCTCATACGAGCCTTCACAGCTGTGGTCACCAAAGAATGGCTGCTCTGCTCTTCTCCTTCTGTTCTGGCTCTCAGTGGTCCATGCCTCCTGCCCACCAAGAGCTGGGGAAAGCCTCTCATCGCTGTGGCTGACTGTGTCATGCAAATTCATAGGGCCATGAAATTCACAAGTCATTCTTGAGCAGTTCAAATAGACTCCGAGCCCCACATCTCTCTCCGTGCTCCTGGGAGGACTGTGGCCTTTGTACTCCTTTCCTCTCTTTTCCAGCCCCTCCGCTGGCCTCTGTCCTCTCCACCCTGGTTACCAAATACACACTCTGGTGCACTCGAATGAAGACGAGCAGACACAGAGTCTTCACCAGTATCAGACCACCAGCAGCGGTTAGGTTACCTTGTTATTACAACCCTCACAACAGCCGTGTGACAGACCACTAGCAACCCCATTTTACAAAATAGGGAAACCGTGGCTCAGAGAGGGTAAATCATTTGTCTAGGACTCCACAGGTAGTGACAAAACATTTAAATGAGCTCAGTAAATATATGCTGACAGACAGAATTGGAAATATGGAGGCAAGAGAAGATCTCCAGCTTCTGGGAACTATGGGGCCTGCAGGGGTCCGACTATGTGGTAAAAGGGAAGTGTCTGTTGAGGCCACCCTTCTAGGGTGGGAGAAGGGGCAGAGATGGGGAGTATAGGGTCAGCTCCAAGGTCAACTGCTCGTGAACCCAATTCCCCTGCTGGACACCTGTTGTTATATAATCTACTTTCTACCAACAACCCATCACATTCCAACCCCCCCGCTAGCCCCCTCCCCAAAAAAAAAACCCTTTAGAAATAGTAAGTGGTGACATTTGTTAGCTGCATGAGCCTCTGTATGTCAACATGTACAAACATTCCCACTTGGGGATGGAATGGAGGGGCAGTGGTAATGTGATGGAGAGAGCCTGGGCCTGGAACCCAGTGACAAGCTTCTGTTCCCCGGTAACTAGCTAGGTGACCTTAGGCAAATTACTTCCATTGTCCACCTTCAGTTTCCTCATATGCAAGATGGGAAATGTCAGCCACCTTCCTCAAAATGTTACTGTGGGGATTAAGCGAAGTTAATACAATACTATTATTATATAGAGAGAACTTCAAAATTACAAAGTGCTTCCACATATACCTCTGGCAACCCTCAGAGCACCCTGAGTATTATTATCCCCATTTTTCAGTTGAGGAAATCGAAGACCCAGAAAGATTGGAATTCACTAGAGAACAGTGAGTGGTGCTATTATTCAAAAGCAGTGGGCCTGGCCCCAGCACATCTGACTTTCAGATCCTGCAGCACCACAGTATCTGTCCCAGAGTCCCTGTGTGTGTCATGTTCAAAGCTTTCATTCCTCTCGTAAGCAGTAAACATTTGTGTTCCTATCAGGTATCGTGCCCGGCATCGAGGATACTACTGCAGCGCTCCTATTGTGGCGGGGTAAGTGGACATCATCTAAGTGAGGAACAATCTCTGTGATGAATGTTACAGCTGGGGAAGGGCAAGGTGACATACGTGGAGACAGAGACAGAAGGGAAACCAGAAGAATGAGTAGGGCATAGCCTCACAAATCAGGGAAGGGGGTTCTCACCTCATAGTGGGAAAGAGCTTGTTGTTTGGTACAAGTGAAGCACAAAGGGTGAGAGGGAAGGGGCAAGAGAGGAGGCCAGAGGGTTAGCTGAGGGCCAGAGCTTGGAGGCTGAGAGAGCTGGGTGAAGGAGTTGGGACCTCATTCTTAGTAAAAGCAGAGCTGCCTACACATTTTCAGCAGAGAAATGGTTGATATTTTTGGAAGATCCTTCTGGCTGGGATGTGGAGACTGGATCAGAGCCTGGTGAGACTGGAGGCAGGTAGGCCAGCTAGGATGGAGACAGATGCAGAAATTCAAGCAAGAAATAATGGTGGTCTGAGCTTGGGATGGGGCCATGGGGATGGAGAGAAGGGCAATCTCTGAAATAAATTTAGGACATGATGATCGATGGGGAATGTGTATGGAGGAAAGGAAGGGAGGGGGGAGGAGTCAAGGATGACGCTAGCTTGTTTCTGGCATGTGCAACTGGTGGGTGGTGATGTCCCTTATTCAACAAGGGGACACTTGGGGTAGAATGTCTGCTATTTGTCAGGGGTATCCTGTATGAGCTTGTAACCCAATTTCACCTAGGGACCTCTAAATTATGTTTGCCTTGCCCAGAGAAGAAGAAATGGATGAAAAGATCCTGCCAACTTGAGAATTCTGCTTGCCAGGTGCCAAGGTGCGGATGTATGTTGATGGTGAAACATCTAGTATGAGGGGCATCCGGTTCCTCTGGAGCAAGGGCATTCATCTTCCTGGGTCTCCAGTGGGCCTCCTGTTCCCTCATCCCAGCTTCCCTTTGATTATTTAAGAGCTATTTGTCAAGGGCATACCATGTAAGCCACCTCAGCTTCGTAGTTGCAGAGCGGAAACTCGTCTTAAAAGAGTTTATAATCTAGAAGCAACGATAGGACAACCAACCACAAAAATAACTACAGGTCCACATGAATAGTGTTAATAGCCATAAATGGCATAAAGAACATGCTCCCAGAAGACCAAGGTCACTTCTGAATGGGAAAACCAGGGAGGAAGTGGTATTCAAGCTGGTCTTAAAGGAGATGTGGAACTTCTATAGGCATAAATGTGGGACTGTGGTAGGAGTAGGTATTCCTGAAGGAAGAAACAGCATGAGCAAAGATGGCAGCGGGCACAGGGAATCACCAGCTCCATCTCTTGCTATCTTGGGTACGGCAGAGAGGGATTCCTTAAGCTGGGGTCCATGGAGCTTTGAGAAGTCTGAGAATTCCCTGACGGTGCAAAATTATGTTTATGCATGAATGTGCACTTTTCTGGAGAGGGGCCCAGCTCTCTTTCAATTCTCTGAAGGATCTAGGGCCGAGAAAATGTTAAAAAACAGTACTCCAAATCTCCCGAATTAGAATTTACAGGTGGGTTGAGGCATCTGTCGTTTATTTTATTTATTTTATTTTTTTATTTCTTTCAAGAACTGTCCGGTGCACACACCTCGGATCTCTAGACAGGCCCAAGGAGACCTTGAAATGCTAGCTCACAGGGCTTCCCTCCCTTTGCCCACCCTTGATCCCACCACCTCCATTTTATGAGTAGTCACCACCCTCACCAGTCTCCACTGCCCTGAGAGAAATAAGGGAGGCAAGGTCAGAGAAGCAGAGGGGAAACTCAGGGACTTATGCAAAGACTCTGGAATCTCCCTCAGAGATGGGGTGGGTGGGAGCCTTTCCGCCCTAAGGCCGGAGGTCAGAACGGCCTGCGGGGTCCTCCGCCCCACTGCAAACCCACGGTCAAATTCTGGGAATTTCCAAACCAGTCGGCGGTGCTGCGGCAGATCTTCCCGGACGTCAGCGTGCGGTGCCGGCCGTGGCCGGTGGGTGGCGCGGCGCCGGGCGCCGAGCGTGGGAAGCGCGGGCGCGCGGGCGGGCTGAGCTCACACACCCGGGAAGCGGCCACGGCAGAGCCGGAGTCCGCAGCGGCTGCGCATCTCGCGCCTCCCGCGGGGCGCTCAGGGGGCGCCGAGGAGGTTGTGCGGTCCCCTGGGAGGGATGCGGACGCCGGAGGTAAGAGCGGGGCCCCGGGCGGGTGTGTGTATGTGTGTGTTGGGGGGGGCGCCGCGGCCGGGCCTGCGGGAAGTCTCCAAGAGCCCCGGGCAGGGGTGGGCCCCCTGGGGACGATGCCCCGGGCCCGCCGGGCTCGGGTCGTCCCCCACCCCCGCTGCGGCGCGGCCTTCCCGCGCAGCTGCCCTCGCCGCGTGGGTGGGAGCGGATCCGGGCCGGGAGCAGCCCGGGCCGGTCCCTGGGCTCTGGGGCCGGGGCCAGCAGGGCGGGGGAGGTGGATGAGCAGCCCCCTGGGCCCGGCCCGGGAGCCCCTGCCCGCTCCTCACCTTCCGTTTCACAGCTCCGCAGTGGGCGTGGTGCCCCTGTGCTGCAGAGGGGGTGCCCGGAGTTGAGGAAGGCAGTGGGGGAGGAGAGCGCAGAGACAGGTGGTTGAGGGGGCGAGCGATGGTGCACGGAGGCTCGTGATATTAATGCGTATTTCTTTCTGCCCCCTTCTTCAGGGGGCGCGGAGGTGCGCGTGGAGGAGGAGGCGGGAAGGCCAGAGGCTTAGCTCGGGCGAGGCAGGCGCAGCCGGAGATGCCACTGGGCAATGTCTCTGTTCAGTCCCCCCCCCAAATTAATAAAGTGGGTGTGGAGGTGCGGGTGGGGGAGTTTGTTGAACTGCCCCAGGCCTGCCGCCTGGCTCTCTCGTGCATATCTGGGAGCCGCTTGCATTGAGCGCTCTGCAGAGGTTGGGGGTGGGGGCTGCCGTCGAATTGCAGAAGCTTCAGCAGCAGAGACAGTTGCAGAGATAGGGGCTGGGAGAAGGTCTTGGGGGTGGAGGGGCGGTGTCCGGAGGTGAAAGGGAGTCTCCAGGCCTGCAGACTAAGTTCATAGGTGCTGGGTTGGACAGGATACGGTGGGAGGTGGGAGCGGTAGGGAAAGAGGGTGATGTCCTTAGGACCCCCTCCTTCCAGCTTTGTTTGTAGCCATAGACCAAAATGTGGGATTCGGCATTTGCCAAATGTGCTTAATTTTTTTTTTTTTCTTTCCCTTTCTGTTTGTTTTGTTTTTTAGAGGAACGGCAAATGACAGAGCAGAGGCAAGGCTGGCCCAGCCAATCCTGGAGCCGCTGCAGCACTGGTTCCCCAAACAAACACATTCTGGTGCAAGGACAGAGAGCAGGGGGCTGCTGGCCCACACCCCTCCCCTGCCCTTGGCCCCCTTGCTGCTCCCCTGTGAGAAGGGCAGCTGGACAGAGGCTGCCTTGGGCCAGGGTGGTGATGGTGCTGTGGCCCCTCCCTGCTGCCCAGCGTGGGAAGAAGAATGCAGAGCCAGGCAAGTCTCCCTCTGTGTCCTCTGGGGTGGAAAGAGCAGGTAGAGACAGGGCTGGGGCAGCCAGGGCCTGGCTGGCGTTGCTTTGGCATCGGTGGCGAGAGGGCTGTACCTCCGGCCCCTTGGGTTTGGTTCTCTCGGCCTGTCCCTGGCACTCAACAACTGCGTCTATGTGCTCATTGGTGCCACCATGTTATATAACGCTTATATAATCTCCCAGGGCGAGTGCAGTGTCTCCACTCTCAGGTCACACAGACACTGTGTCCGTGCGGAAGTCAGGATCTGTGGACGCTTCTATGCCCTCAGCTTCAACCTGGCTCCTTCTCCTGATTCCGACTGCAGGAGGGGGAAATGGGAGAGCAGGGGCCCACTCTACCCCAGCTGTCTGGGGCCGAGAAAGAGGGGTTGGCTGGGCAGCCTTCCTCATGTTCTTGCCCAGTGCACCTTCTGGTGGAGTGGATGCCATTCTTGTGCTCTGAGGCCAGTTTTTTGTTCTTGAGGTCCCCTGGCGCGGCAAATGGGTGTGGTGAGATGACCCCCAGAATGTTGCAGTGGAAGAATACATGGTACATAAGGTTGGATAAAGAGAGTGAGAAATTAACTGCCTTTGAGGTTTTGGGCAAGAGTGGCTAGAAGGATGGGATGGCGGTGGCATTCTAAGAAATTTGGAGCAGGCCTAAGGGCTAGAGGATGGTCAGGGAAGGGTGTACAGGGAAGTGGATCAGACAGCAAAGATAAACATGGTGTTCTTTTACTGTACTCTCCACTGGGCTGTCCCTGGTTGCCAGGGCAACAGAAGCAGTGATGAAAATCATGCCTTTCGTTCAGTGGAAAAATCTGGCTCCTCCTCCCGCCTCTTCCTTCTCTAATTGTCTGCAACCTATTGGGAGGGTGATGGCTCTAGGGATCAGAGACCCCAGCGTGTTCATATCAGGCACCCCCCTTCCCCATTTTTTGTCATCTTCCGCCTTCCTGCATCCCCTGTCTCCCCCAGAGCTCAGTAATTGGCAGTTGCGTAGGAGTTGGACTGGATGGAGGGGGAAGGGCATGGACGTCATTGCAGGGCAGGGTGAGCAGAGCGTGGGCAGAGCTGTGGATACAGGAATGACTGGCACACGAGGAGGGTCAGGCATTGATTAGCTGGATGGAGGCTTGTTCCTGGGATGGTAAGACCTGGGGTGGGAAGGGTGGGTGAGATGATGGAAGGCCTGCAGAACCTGGCAGTCTGGGCTTGCAGTGGTGGTAGGAAATAGGAAGGCCCTGAGGTTTCTGGTGTGGTCGTGGGTCCTGAGGAAAGTTAGAACTCATTCATTCAGCACTTTTTGTGTGCCTACCATGTTAGGTAAGGTTCTGGGAGCTGGGAAGACACAAGTAAGTAGGACTGGGCTTTGACCTTGAAGAGATCATGATAGATGAGAGGAGGATGGGTATATGGGGGAAGATCAGCTGGCATTGTTACAAGCCCAGAATCTGGGACTCCAGGCAGGAGATTGGCAATATTCCAGACTGGAGGTGATGGATTAGGGTGGAGCGTGTGAGAATGGAGAATGCAGAGGAAGAGGTAGTTCAGAGAGCCCCTTTGGCTTGGGGACAGAACATGGCGAAGAGAAGGCGCTGACGTTTTGAGCCTTAATGATTGACAGAAATAGAAACATCAGGGTTCATACTTATTTGGGGTAGTCATGTTTGATTTGCTTTTAGACATATTGCCCAAGACAGAGGCAGAGTGTCTTGATGGAAATGTTTATGCTCGGACAAATGAAATTTGCGATGGAAGTCAGTTCTGGGAAGACGTTAGGAGGAAATTGTATTATGAAGCCTTGAAGGTATGAGGTTGTTGAGAAGGTAGTGTAGAGAGAGATCCCAGGGCCTGGGGCATCGGCCTAGAATTGGGTGAGGCTGTATGCCTTGTACTTGTTTATTATCCCAGGGCCCGCCCAGACTGCTGGACCAGTTTCTGCTGATGAACGCCTACGTCTTCTACCAAACCACACCCCATTTTGAAGTTCAGGTTTCTGTTTAAGTTTTCTTCTCGCTAGTAGCTATGTCCAGGAGGATATGTCCTGGAAAGATAGATATATACATTTACCTCTCCAAGCTCTCTCCTTGACCTTTGCTATACCATTCACTTATAAATTACTGAGAGGCCCTGGGATGTGCTAAAGAGATGTGCCAGAGGTCCTTAGCCTCCGCCAGCAAGGCTGTTTGTTCTGGTTCCTTTCCAGTCATCACTCTAGAGGAATAAGAGCCCTGGACAGAGTCAGGAGGCCTTTGCCAACTACCTGATCTTGGACAAGTCACTTCCTTTTCCAGGCCTTAGCGTCTAGTCTAAGGGTCTAGTTTCTTCCAGATCTAAAGCCTTCAGATATGATTTCCAAAGTTTTTTCCACTTTTGCTCAGGTTTCCGATGCAGGTGAGGCTTTTGAAACCAGCAGCCCAGATTTCTTTGGAGTCTTGTGGGAGGGAGTAGGGGGAATGGAGGCCTGGTTCCTAGAGCAGGCCCCTGTCTCCAGAGGGGGCGGGAGCCCTCCAAGTAGAGGGTGGCCCCTGTTCCTTTTGGGAGCTTGGGAGTGCTAGAAGAGCTGGTTTTCCCAGTGACCAGGAGTTGGAAAACTACAGCCCATGCATGGGCTGATGCCTGCTTTTGTAAATAAAGTTTTATTGGAACACAGACATGTTCACTGTTTACATCTATGGCTGCTTTCATGCTACATTGATATAGTTGGGTAGTTGCAACAGAGGCTGTATGACTACAAGGCTAAAGTCTTTACTGTCTTGCCCTTCAGGAAAAAAAATTGCTAATCTCTGTCCTAGACCACCAGAAAAGTGCTTGGATCACCACTGGGGATGCTTACTATGGCCAGATTCCTAGGGTTCTTGAAGATTCTGCCTTGGGCCTTCCTTTGTGATCCTATGACAGGATGACGTGGCAATTGAGATGGTAGATTCTTAGAGTCAGCCCAAAGATAGTGAGCCTGGATCTGGGAAACCCCTTTCATTTTCATCTGTCTTCCTGAAGCCTGGAGGGTGCCTGTCCCCGCAGTCCCTCACACGTATACTTCTTTGAGCCCGGAGACCTACATTCCTCATCAGGGAAGGCTTGTGGCCTTGGTGTGACAAGCCACCCTCCCTCTCATTTCCCAGGCCTATTCAGAGGAGAATGGACCAACCCAAACCCAGTGTCTGGTGAGGAGAAGGAGAGGCTCGTTGGTTCTGCCAAGTCCTGCAGCATATTTCCCTTGATACCTTTGCCTTGTCACCTCTGGCCTCACCTATGCCCTTTAGTTCCAAGGCCCTGGAGATGCATCTGCAGAGAGAGCCTGCAACTCAGCCTGGTTTGTCTGCCTGAACTTGGCACTCATCCGCTGTCGGAATAAGGCCCCGCAGCCTGGGGTTTGTGGGGTGTGTGTCTGTGTTGGCTTGGGGCTGGAATCAGTACTCAGGATTCTTACAGCCAACCTTACAGAGTCCCCTTGTGTCCTGGTCTCTACCTTTTTTGACTTGGGCCTCATGCTGGAGTCTCGGTGAAACTCCTGGGTAGGAACAGGATGAATTTCAAGCTCTCGCTTTTATAAAACAGTAGCAGAAGAGCAGTTGGGTCACTTCTGCTCAGGGCTGAGGTAGGAAGTAGCAAGAGGAAACCGCGTGCTCAGAGCCATGCAGGAGGGGGGCAGGGGGTTGGTAACTGAGGTTTATTCCCATTGCAGCTGGAAGGGAGGAGGCTGGCAGCGAGAGGAGGGAGCAGACGACCCCGAATAGCAAAGGAGACAGAAGCTAAGCACACCCAGAGCTGCTTTTAGCTGGTAATGGTAAGCCTGGCTCTAGGGGCCTTACTTCTCACCTCCCCTACACACATTCTCCCCAGAGGCCGGGCCTGTGACTGTCCTCATCAAAGAAAAAAGTGAAAAGGTCTTCATCAGAAATCCTTTCTAAATACCTTTCAGTTTAGGGTGACCCCAGACTGCACGGGTTTACACGAATGTTTAGACAAGTGCACTGACTTGGAGAAACATTCGTTTACTACAGATTTATTACGGATCTCTTCTGGGTTGGGCATTGTGTGAAGCTTGGAGGATACAGAGGTAAATAAAGGATTCACAGTGTGGTCTGGAAGGTGTATGGGCAGTTGAACCAATTTTAGTAGAACCTGTGCTAGATCATAAGCTTCAGGTGAGCACATCTGTGTGTGTCGTGTTCACCGCCGTGGCCCCGTGTGGGGTCCTGTGCTCGGCACATGGCAGGCACACACATGTTTAACTGGCTGACGCATCCCTGTTTGGTGTGTGTCCTGGAAATGTGCAGGAGGGATCTGAGGAGGTAAGTGGAGCAAGAGAGGAGCTCACGGCAGCGTGTGTGACAAATCTGGGCAAAGGATGGACATACCTGGACGGACTGGTTATGCGAGTGCTGTTAAGGAGAAAGGATGTAGAACGGTTGACCGTGTGGGAATGAGAGACACCGTTGGCCTTAGGACAATGAGAAAGGAGGAGAATGACCTGGTACAAAGAGGTGGGTAACCAGCCCCACATCACTGGATAAAGCCAGGGGCTGGGGAAGAAAGAAGCCAGCCAGTGGCAGGGAAGGTAAGATTGAGTCGGGAGAGCAGAAACCAGCATGAGAGGAAGCCTGGAGGCGTCTCAGGCCCAGGGTGGAAGCAGAGCTGAAGCAGGTGAGTCCCAGGTGAAGATGATGACAGTGACTGTCAGCTCTGTCCTGCAGGTCTCCTCCGAAATGACCATGTCCAGGTATGACCCAGAATACCACATTTCCCTGCACTGGGGCAGACACAAGGAAATTAAGTGGAGTTTGAGATTATGGCTATTCTCCTTTCTAAAATTCTTACTATGGAAATTTTCACATATCTATGACGGTAGAGAGAGTAGAAGAAACTTCAGTGTTCCCGTCACTCAGTTTTATCTTGTAATCAACACATGCCCCTTTTGTTTCATTTGTACATTCATCGACCTTATTCCTTACTCCCTTCTTGGATTATTTTACAGCAGATCCAAGACATCATATTTCATCCCTAAATACTTCATGATGAATCGCTAAAAACGAAATACATTTTAAAAAACACAATCCCAGTAGTAGTATCACCCCCTGCAAAAGCACCGTTACTCTTAATGTCACCAGTCATCCATTCAGTTACGTTTCCCTTGCTTGTTGCCATTTTTTTTTTTTAAATAGTTGGTTTTGTTTGAATCAGCCTCCAAACAAGATCCCCGTGTTTCATTTAGTTCATGATTGATCTCAGCGTCTCTGTTAATAAAGATTATGCTCATTCTGAAAAGAATGATGCTTTGCAATTCTACCTTTTAGATTTACTTAGCTGCCGCCTCTCTGTCTCCACTCAGCTGCCATCCAAAGCTTTCCTGAGTTTTGTTGAACCATTTGGCGATTTTTGAGCATTCTTCGTTATTCCTCATCTTTGTGGTTTAACGTAACTAGTCGTTTTTACCTTCCTTCAATAAATACTTCTCGGGAGCCTCCCATGTGTCAGGCACTGTACCAGGCACTGGGCATACTGCCGTGAAAAGACAGGCTGGGCCCTGCTCTCAAGGAGCTTACAGTCTGACCACGTGAGAGCTGTTGTGGGTCTGCTTGTTGTCCCCCACCCCATGTTCATCCCAGCCAAGTCGGGTGACCATGACCATCACTTCTGTGCTGACACGTTTGCCGCGTCCTAGGGCTTGGTATTCATGTTCTCATGCTGTCCTTTCATGTGGTTGATAAGTGGTGTCCTCGGTACTGATGGCGAAGCCAGGTGTGGTTTCTGTGGCATGTCCCTGTTTCATAGGTGTGCCCACGGATTCTAGCAGTGTCACCAAGTGACTTTGCGTGTGTCCATGTGACACTCTTGGGCTTGAGCCTTTATAACTAGGCGAGTTCACGTGGAGAGCTTGCTTAACTGGCAGACTGTAGAGGGGTTGAGTAAAAACATCTGGAAGGTGCTCAGAACTGTTAAAGAGCTCAGCGCATGCCATGGTGCTGGCATGTTCTTTGAGCAGGCCGGATGTTTCTGTGTGTTTGTGGACTTCCGGTTGCTTTGGGGCTTTTGCCCATAATGATTAGGCTACCTGCCTAATTAGGCCTGCTTTCTCGAACTGCTGTATTTTTGCCAAGCAGTACGGTACTGGGTGACTGCCGCCTCAGTAGCAGAATCTAATGGTACAATTCAGGCCTGTCTTGTTAATAAGGCATTTCACTGATTTGCATTTCTCTGTGAATAAATAATCAGACTTATTTGGACACTGTGACTTTTGATTTTGAGAGTGGTCCGTGATTCTTATTGTATTTTTCCAGTGCAAATGCAGCTATATTGCAGTTCCTGGATTATAGTGTCTGAGCCTTTTAACAGAAAATCTTAGTTAATAAAAATGAGTATATTCCTAGATACAAAGACTAGTATTCTTTCACCTTTCCTAGGTCTTTTATTATATAGTTAAGATAATAATACAGAATATATGAATATGTCATGATATACATGTCCTGTTACTGAAGGCTACATAGTTTAGAGTTCGGTGTTATGTTTTTATTTTCTTCTAATTACGTAATCTTTAATTATTTTGATTATGCACCGGTGTTGGTTAAAACTTTCGAACAAGTTTCCTTGTGTGTTTGTGTGCGCGCGTGTATGTATACAGCATCGCCGTGCTAATACATTATATACATTACAAAACACAAAAAGTTAAAAATAGCTGGATGTATTGTATTTCTGTCTGCACTACTTATGGTCCTGTGGGAGCCCCTCTTGTTTGCACTAAATTTCACCCTGAGACGTATTCAGGACGTCGCTCCAGCACCTCCCTCTCCTTCTTGCATCACCATTTCTCCCCTCTCTCCTGGATCATTTCCATATGCTGCTGTTTGTCTCATCTTAAAAAAGGCCTTCTTTGACCTCACCTCTTCTAGCTGCTGCCCGTTTCTCTGCCCCAAAGAGTTTCCAGTCCTTGCTCCCTTCACTTCCTCTGTCAGACCCCTCCAGTCAGGCTAGTCCCAGCCACTCTGGACATCAGCGCTCTTGCCAAGGCCAGCGGTGACCTCCATATTACTAAGTCTAGTGGTCCCTCCCTGGTCTTCATCGAAGTAGCTTCAGCGATATTGGCACAGCTGGTCATACCCTTTTTCTTGAAGCTCTTTCTTCACTTGACTTCCAGGATATATATTTCTGGTTTTCCACCTGTCTCATTGGCTGTCCCTCCTCAGCATCTCGTCTCCCTGACTTCTGAATGTTAGAAGGGCTGGGGCACCTGCTGTCTATCGTCTTCTTTGTCTTCGTGATCCTCTCCCAACTCATGACTTTACATACCACCTGTATGGATGTTGTCTAGAATTCACTTCAGAGTAATCCCGCGAGATAAACAAGACTGACCATGAGTTGATAATGGTTGAAGCTGGCTGGTGGATACCTGGGGGTTTATTCTGCTGCTCTCTCTAGTTGTGTTTATGTTTGAAATTTTCCATAATGAAAAGTTAGAAAAAAATCTACATGCTGATGACCCCCAGTTATTTTTCTCAAGCCCAGCTCAAGCTCCTGAAGTACAGTCCTATGTGTCTGTCTGCCTACTTAACATTTCAACTTGAATGTTAATAGACGTTTCATACTTAACATGCCCAAAACTGAACTTCTGATTTTTCGATGCAAATATCTTCTTCCTTCAGTCTCCCATCTTGGCTATGAGAATGCCAGCCTTCCCGTTGCTCATCCAAAATGCCTATGGTCATGCTTCACTTCTCTCTTCTATGTCCTTCATTCAGTCCATCAAAAAAATCTTGTTGACTCTACCTGCAAAATATACGTAGACTATGACTAGTCAGAACTGCTTCCACTGCCATCACCACGGTCCAAGCCACCATCATCTCTCGCCTGCTTCTCCTTTGCCCCTTACAGGCTGTAGTCCTCACAGTAGTCAGAAAGATCCCACGAGACATAAGTCACATCATGCCTGCCACGCTCAAAACCCTGCTGTGGCTTCTTTCCGCACTCAGTGAAAGCCATGGTTGGAGTGGTCTGCAAAGACCCTGCAGCCTGTGAACACTGTCCAATAGAAATATAATGAATTACACAGGACCACCACATGTGTAATTTAACAATTTCTGGTAGCTAAATTTAAAAGGAAAAGGAAGTAGGTGAAATTAATTTTAATAATCTAACCCAGTATGTCAAAACTGTTTTCATTTTTGATGTGTATTTCGTTGTTCTTTTTGTACTACGTCACGCCCATAGCACGTGGCAGTTTGGACCAGCTACATTTCATACGCTCAGCAGCCTCATGTGCCCAGTGGCTGCCTTATTGGGGTTGCAGGCCTACCTAGTCTGGCCCCACTTGGCTTCTGTGTCCTTCCCTCCTACTGCTCTTAGCTTCTTTCACTCTGCTCCAGCCACACTGGCCTCCTTGCTGTTCCTCAGATAAATCAGGCATTTCCGGTGTTAGGGCCTTTACACCTCCTGTTCCCTCTGTTTGGAATACTTTCCCCCAGGGAGCCCCGTAGCTGACTCTCGCTTCCTTTGGGTCTGTGCTCAGATACTACCTTCTCAGTGTCCTGCCTACCCACACGCGCTTGCTAGCATTTCCTGCGTCTCTTCCCTGCAGTGTTTTTTTCTCCATAGCACCATCACCGTTTAACATAACTGTGCACTTCCGTTACTTCATAGATTTTCTCTCTCTCCCCACTGGAATGTGAGCTCCATGAGGGCAGGGGTTTTTGTCTGTGTTCGCTGCTGTATTTCCAGAGCATGGGACAGCGCCTGGCACATCTAAGAGGTGGATTGATGTTGCTGAGGAATTAAATGAAATGTATTATTAAGAATGATTCTTTTTTAGTAAGAACCATGCAATTGAGTGTATTTTATTGTTTCAGAATATCATGGGTCATATTTTGCAACGTGGCAGTTTGAAGGTCTGGTTCATGTCACGGTGTTTTGAAAGAGTCCTCTCTATAAAGATGTTATTGTGGCTTCAACTTATAATTTAAATGGGTTTAAGACCCCTGAAATACTGTATTTCGTTCACTTCATTGAGAGATTTGAAAACAAGTTAGTGTATCCTGTCTTATGGGTGTCCACAGATACAAGGTTTTAGAGACAACGTCTTTCTGTCAAATTTGGTAATATCATCATGTAATGGTGGAAATGATTTCCAAATGCCAGTTTTTGAAATGCTCTTTCCGTGACATAAGTCTCTTTCAAAAAGTAAAGGCTTTCTTACCCATTTTTAAAATGTCACTTTACTTAAAGGGACAGATTAAATACTCATTTGTTTGTTTAAAAAATAGTCATTAATCGGCATTCTCCTGATAGGCACTCATTACAGAAGAAGTCAGCAAATTTTGCAACCTTGTTTTCCAGTTTAAAAAGAAATATAATTACTGTTTAAGTTGAGCCACTCTTTCAGGTCTTCCACCATGAGATGATCATGGCAGTGTGGTCCAGTGCTTTGCAGATCCCACCCTCTCATTGCAAAGGAGTCATTTATTGTATTGAAGAGGATATCCTTAAAGTTGCTTGTCTGGGCACATGTAAACCGCACTCAGGTACGCAGACAACTGGGCTGCCCTTGTCCATCCTTTGGTGTTTTGTGTCTCCTACCTGGACCCAGGATGCAAAGGTGGTGGCACCAGCGTGTTGTGAGTTAGGAGGTAGGTGGTTGTGCTCAGAAGCTGCTCTGGAGGTGAGCATAGCAGGGATTGCTGGAAGAGATGGCCAAGGTAGCTAGGGTAGCCGGCTGTCTTCTTCTTTTTTTTTTTTAATTGAAGTATAGTTGATTTACAGTGTTGTGTTAATTTCTGCTGTACAGCAAAGTGATTCAGTTATACATACATTCTTTTTTATATTCTTTTCCATTATGGTTCATCCCAGGATATTGAATATAGTTCCCTGTGCTACACAGGAGGACCTTGTTGTTTATCCATTCTATATGTAATAGTTTGCATCTGCTAGTCCCAAACTCCCAGTCCATCCCTCCCACACCCCCTTTCCCCATTGGCAACCACAAGTCTGTTCTCTATGTCTGTGAGTCTGTTTCTTTTTTATAGATAGGTTCATTTGCATCATATTTTAGATTCCATGTATAAGTAATATCATATGGTATTTGTCTTTCTCTTTCTGACTTAACTTCCCTTAGTATGATAATCTCTGGTTGCATCCATGTGGCTGCAAATGGTATTATTTCCTTCTTTTTTGTGGCTGAGTAGTATTCCATTGTACATATGTACCACGTCTTCATTATCCATTCATCTGTTGAGCACATTTAGGTTGTTTCCATGCCTGGGCTATTGTGAATAGGGCCAGCTATCTTCTTAGAGAGAGAGGTGGTATGCCTTTGAAGCCTTGTGCCATGTCTTCCGTCCATTCACCTATATATGGAAAATGCTTGTGCAGTATGCTTTCCTTCCATTTTGACAGTCCAGGAGGTATGTCAGCTGGATATGTGCACGTGGACTTGTTTTTCCAACTGCCGTGACCAGAAGTGTGATTTAAAAGATGAGCAGCTGGATTGAGAACTGCAGCTCCGGCTGGGAACAGAGGCCCTGATTACTTTCTGCTGCAGTAGAGATCATCTCCTGCGTGCCCTGGACCCGGCATCGATGAGCAAGGCTTGTCTCCAGTGGGCCAGTCTTTGCTACTTAGACCACCGGCCAACCCATCAGCTTCTCTTCTTGCCACACATTTGTACAGGGCCTCCTGTGGAAAAGCCTCTGTGTTTCTGGATGGAGTGGGGTGGGCACAGGAAAGGAAGGAATGTGCCAGTGTGAATGGGACCTGGTCTCTGTCCTCAGGGAGTTAATGCTTAATGAGGGAGATAGACACCCATGCTAAATACAAGACAAAGCGTAAAAGGGACACGGATGGAGTGTGATAAAGTGTTGTATTAGCCAGAAGTGGGAATTGGAGAGGTGGTGAACGTGAGCAAGGAGATCTCATCCATCTGTTCATGGCTGAATCCTCAGAGCCTAGCACAGTACTCCATCCCTGTCGGGTGCTCAGTAAATGTGTATTTGTTAATAGCTGGCTGTTGAAGGAATGGGGCTTCACCCCCAGGGACGAAGGAGGAAATGTCTTGTTGGGAGGAGGTGGTCATGTGCCCTGAGTGGGTGTGTGTGGCAGGAGAGGGGCTGTGTTCAGGGAGGGCCAGCCTCAGGGCAGGGCACCTGGACCAGCTTTTTCCAAGAATTTGATTTTGGTGGTTCTTAACCTCTTTTTGTGCCAGTTCTCATTAGGAATTGCATGGAAACTGTAGTCTCTTGCTCTAAGAAAAAAAATAAGATCATGACAGCACATGATTTGACATATACCATCTGAGGACTCACAGATCCCAAGGTATAAAACCCTGCCATAGGCTGGGGAGCCGTCAGTGCTTATTGACCTCTTTAAACAGGGATAAGACACTTGTTTTTCCTGGAGTCTTTGGGAATTGACTCAGATGAGTGTATACTGTGTAGGTATTCTGGGTTTTAAGGTCATTGGTAAGTGACAGCCACAATAGTGGCCCTGATGAGCTTAAGGAAGCAGTGGAGAATTGGAGGGGGGTGGCAGTTGGCGGGCTCTGTGCACTGTTATGGAGAGATCCAGTGTTTGCTCCACTGAGCAGGGGATGAAAAAATTTACCTGAGAGAAGATAGAAAAAAATTAACTTTTAAAACGTACTAATTCAGGGACTTCTTTGGTGGTCCAGTGGTTAAGACTCTGTGCTTCCAATGCAGGGGGCATGGGTTCTATCCCGGGTCCGGGAACTAAGATCCCATATGCCGCTGCATGGTGCGGCAAAAAAAAAAAAAAAAAGAAAAAGAAAAAAATTTAAGATTATAAAAGAAAATTAAACGTACTAATTCAGAATATGGAATGCTTATGCTAGTTGTTTTCTGTGACATGTTTTCCAGCTCAGATACCCAGCCAAGCAGTAATTACAGACACAGAGAGGCAGTGTGTTGCATTTCTGGGAACAGGGAGAGTAGAAGGGAGTTATTAGAGTTTTATATCACCAAGGTATTGGGTTCAGAGAACTCTAGCAATTCTGACCCATCAGGGAAGGCTGCTTGGAGGAGGAATGTGGCAGGATTTCATGGGCCACTTGGAAAAGCAGAAAGACTGGGCTTATTTTAAAATTATATGGTTTTTGTTTCTGTTGTCATAAAAATTCCTATAGAGTATCTGTATACCTTCAGTTAAAAAATAAATTAAAAAAACAAACTTTCTGTCCTCTGGGAGTTTGTAGTGTATCTGCTGTACAGATAGGCTGTCTGGAGAGTTAAAAAACCCAGTATGGGCAGTACAGTGTTGCCATTTCTGCCTTTGTGTGTCATAGGTAAGTTCATTCATGGAGGGGTGAGGTTGGGGGGTGGTGAGGCCATGCCTTGTCCCAGGGGACAATGTTGATTGAACATTGGCCCTGTGCCAGGCTGGGTTAGATGCTGGCCAGCACCGGAAGGCACCGCTGGAGTGGGAGGGGAGAGCCCTTGCGCTCCTGCACCCGAGTGTAGCAGGGGACAGACTCGGGGGTCTTAGGAGTAGCATTGTCCGAAGCATATGGTGGGGAAGGGCTTGGTGGTTGCTGTGCAGGCTCTTCCACCCCTCTGCTGACGTCCCCCCTCATGGGATTTGGCTTTGTGGGAAGGTTAGTCTGTGACAGTTTTAAAAGTTCTTTCGAAAAGAAGAACCCCTCCTGTTTTCCCCAGAGAGGTGTTCAGACTGCAAGACCAGACACCTTGATGGGTGGTGAAATCAATCAATTTAGTGGGTTGGGACCAATGTGGAAAAAAAAAAAAAAAGACTGTAACAGAAAATATTAGATTGCATAGTATGTAGTAAAGATGAGTATGATTTCATGAAAGTCTCAGTCATATATATATATATATATATATATATATATGTATATCTACAGATATATGTATCTGTATACACACAAGTGCACATGTATGTAAGTGCCAGACCACCAGGCCACCTTGTAAACTTTTTTTTTTTTTTAATTTTATTTATTTATTTAGTTTTGGCTGTGTTGGGTCTTCATTTCTGTGCGAGGGCTTTCTCTAGTTGTGGCGAGCGGGGGCCATTCTTCATCGCGGTGCGTGGGCCTCTCACTGTCGCGGCCTCTCTTATTGCAGAGCACAGGCTCCAGACGCGCAGGCTCAGTAGTTGTGGCTCACGGGCCTAGTTGCTCCGCGGCATGTGGGATCTTTACAGACCAGGGCTCGAACCCGTGTCCCCTGCACTGGCAGGCAGATTCTCAACCACTGCGCCACCAGGGAAGCCCCTAAACTTTCTTTCTTACTGTGGGTTAGGGTCCAGAAAGTTTGAGAAACAAGCACTGGAAGGATTTGTTTGCTCTTAGTGTAGAGCATGGGTTCCAGCCGCTTCCCCAGAGGCCATCTCTATGGAGACTTTTTTTTTAAGAGCAGCAGAGTCAGGCTGTCACAGCATGATCTGAGGTTGGTCTGCGGCTGCTTACCCACTCCTGCCCCCACTTCCCTGTGCCTGGTGTTTCCTGCTGTGGCGAGCTGGGGAGAGAGGCCAGGCAGACCTCACCAGGGGTGGGAGCAGAGGTCGCCTCCTCTCCCAAGTCACCAGGTGTGACCCCCTGGAGTGCAGCATCTCCAGCCCCTTGCCTCTTCTCTGGCTTCTTGACTTGATTAGCTATTTCCATACCAAGGGCAGGGGGAGGAAGGCCATCCTGACTTATTACTTTGCCCCGTTGTTCTCTGTTTCTCAGGGACATTGGGTGGGGAGGTTAGAGTTCACACTGTCTGGGGGGTGGATCCCTGGTAGGCTGAAGTGAGCCAGCTCCCCCCTCAGAATGACCACTTAGCTCGGTAATTCTCTGGCTCCATCTTTCCCACAGAGGAGAGGAGCCTTTCTTGGATCGTAGTTGCTTCTTCCATCAACTGTGCTGACCGGCCTGCAGAGCGCTGACCCACTTGTGGTACCTCAAATAGAGGTTTAAATTAGGACCTTTAATCTGTAAGAGGCTTACAGCCTGTTGGGTGGCCAGCTGCTCTGGACTTCTCTGTGGGCAGAGCTGGGCTTGGCCAGGCTGTTGTTGGGTTGAGGGAATCATGGGGGTCGGTGGCTTCCTTGCAGGAGTGACCATACGTGTGGCCTCACTCATGGAGGCCTGGGAACAGCAGGAGTCCCAGGGAAGCAGAGTTGTTTGCCCAACACTCCTTTTGCTGTTGGCACTCACACAGTCCCTGGGAGTGGGTGGGTACCATCTCTGGCTATGGGACAGGGTGGTGGGCTGTCCTTGTAGTGACGGAGTGGAAAGCCCAGAATTCCATGGGCCTTGGGTGCCGGTGCTGCTGCTTCTGGGCACTGAGCCTGGCTCCTTGCCGATGTGCAGTTAGCTCTGCTGGCCCAGTGTGTGTTTCCATCCCACGGATGCCTAGTAACCAAGAGCTGTGTGTCCAGTATGGTGCTGGGTGCCATAGGGGCACACAGAAACACGAGACTTGGGGCCTCCCCCAAATCGCTCCTTGTCTTCTTGAGGAGACCCGACTAGTACATATCAAAGCATTCATTTGTCCCACAGACACATACTTACTTGGCTGGTAGCTGTTCCCAGTAGCAAATTATAAAGTTCCAAAGTAATAGGCATGGGGGGGAAGTTCTTTGGGAGGCCTGGGAAGGGAGAGAGCTATGGGGTAGTGAGAGCTGGGCCTGAGCGGTGGGATTTAGCAGGATGGGGAGAGGGGAGGTCGTTGAAGGTGGGAGGAACAGTGTGAACAGAGGCCAGGAGAGTGCGTGGTCTTCCTCTAAGCGCAGGCTGCTGGAGCCTCTTCCTCCCCTCCCGCTTCTTGAAATAGTCCCAGTTT